ATTAAGGTGATAATTGTCCTCCTTTGGTAGGCTCTGTCCTCCCCCAAGAAGTGTCCTCCCAACTGTCTTCCTTTTCAATATTTTACGACTAATCTGTTTATCTCTGTATTAGTTAAAGATGCCGCTTCGAAATGTTACACGTCAATCGTCATGTGATGGTGCAGTTCGAAAAAAAACATGATTATAAAATTCACAGACAATTCCGGGCATATCAAAACATCACGCAGCCACACTTGTCTAGCTCCCTCACACATTTGCGCACTTTGTTCATTTTAATGTGTCTATAATATTATAGTTCGTGTTTACATCTGATGCAAATACGAATTTACTTTCACTGTATAATTATTATACTCTGAGTATAATAATTGTGGTAATATACTTGCAAAGACTTGAAAAATGCAGCATTTGTAACAGTTTTATCTGAGGCATCGAATCATAATGAAACAAAATTGTATCCAATACTAATAAGATATTATAATGTTAACAAGGGTACTCACATAAAAATTTTTAATTTAGAGTGTATTGAGGACGGCACTGTTGAAATTTTGGCGAACCATCTATACAGAGTAATAAATGAAAACAATTTGAAATATAAAGTTGTTGCACTAACAGCAGATAATACAAACGCAAATTTTGCTGGGCGAAGATGCAAAGGAGTAAATAATGTCTATATAAAATTAACAGATTTACTCCAAAAAAAAACACCAAGCATAGGTTGTAATACACATATTTTGTGAAATGCAATAAACACGGCATCATCTGCCATGCCAATTGATGTAGAAGTAATAATAACAACAATTTGTATATTATTCGTTTTACGGTTCGTGTGAGAGCTTTAAAAAACTTTTGTGAAGACGCAAATGTCCTCATTTGTTTGCTTTTTGTCCTCCTTTTCATTGTAAAAAAATAGTCACCTTAATTCAATGATTTAGTTATAATATAAATGTTGTCCTTTTTTAAAATCATATCAATTTCTTAAGAAATAAAACATCAATAAAGAAACAATTATATGATGAATACATAGATTATGTAGATAGAAGTACATGTATATTCGGTGTAAAAAAATGAGTCCATTGGAAACTGTAAAGGAGATGGCAGTGAAAACGTAAAGTGAGTTGTGAAATATCTGGTTGTGCAAGATATAGGAGACACGTTGAAGACCACTTATTAATATCTCATTATTTGAATCTATAATATCACTATGTCTATAATTTAGATGCCCACATGGGTCAAAAAGTTAAAAATTTGTTCCATTTTGACTAATGTTTAGGATAATAAACCTAGCTGTAAAGATTGATATCTGCAGACACTTCCTTCATATTGTTGGTTTCCTTGTTTTTCCTGTTACATCATAATTGGTCCTACTTTTCTGCAGTCATTATATAAAATATATGTTGCTCCATACTTCACTTTCCTTCTGATTTCATAAATTTTTCTTCATAAAAGTGAAAAGATGTAAAAAAGAACAACTTTTTAACCAGAAACAATAAATTTTTACATAAGCTGCAATAACAAGTGTAGCTAAATGTAGTAATAAGCAATAAAATCTGTATCCGAAATTATCTAATATTCTTGCGTTCAAAATTCTTTAGTTTTCAGTCATCTAAATTTTGTCAGTAATCTGCCGATTACGCCCTAATTTGTAAATAAAGATAAAACAATTTATATCTAAGACACTACTTAGCAGTCTTATTTTTATTTTCAGAGAAAATATATCTGTACTTTTTGCAAATATGCAGTTTTACGATTGTAAGGACAAATATTGTAGAAATCAACACGGAGTCTCTGCATTGATGAACTCTGACATAATTGTGGATTATATATAAAACAAATTCTGTTAACATGAAAAATATATGTGGACTTTTTTTACATACACTATTCTTTGGACCTAAATATTTATTTTTGATTGATTTCAAAGGTTGCAATCCTAAAAATTTTACATTCATTACGTAATATATAAAAACAAATATATGAGAAAATGAATAATAATTGCCTTCCTTAAAACTTTTAGAGAAATATGTTTTTAATACAATGTCAGGTTTCTTTTTATAATACACTGGACATATTCAACAAAGAATTAACAGAACGTAATGTTCGGAAAAAACTTGCTTAGCAAAAAAATCCATTATACAGTTTTTATAATAATTCAAAGATTACTCCACTGGACAATAAAAACGAATTATAATAAAACGTATCTCTCCATTAATTCAATAATAAGTATCTCTCCGTTAAATAGATTATAAAATACAACTCAGATTTCAATCTGATTTCATAAATTTCAATATTTAAAATTTCATGCATTTTAAAAACTACTGCACACTCCAAATATTATATACATATATGCCAGAAATATACATTTCTATTTGTCTATGTACGAGGAAATAATGCATGTGTAAAATCACACATCTAATGTACTTTTCGAGCAGGCTGATTAGTTTTAATGCTCGCGTATGTATAACGATAATTATAAGTTCTTAAAGCTATAACACTGAAGAGAAGAGAAAAGTATTTTACGGAACTTCCCCAAACCCATTCACATTGCAATTACAACATACGTAGAAGTATGACAACAAAAAATAACCAGTACGACGATAAATAGACAATTACAATAACCAACGAGGTTAGAACTCATGGAGATGTCCTCCACGCAGTCCAAGTGAAGCTATAAAAGGAATGAGCATGCCTTTAGTAGTGGTGCCTTAGAAAGACTGACGTGCTCTAACCACACCCAATTTTGTTCCTAGTAGTTGCAAAGGATCGCAGATTCTTCATGCCCTCTTTCCTTTACTTTTCTCGCCATTTCATTTTATTTCTACATTATGTAATTGCAATAATTTCTACATTACGCAATTGCATCCTGTAATTAATGAATGCTAGCATTAAAAGTATTGTGAACACCAAACAGTAAATATGTGCTCAAACTATAATTTGGTTATACTTTACTTATTCTAAGTATATATAATTCTCAAATTTTTCATGTTATATATATTACTTATGTTTCGAAAAAACTTAATTTGAATAAACAATGATAGAAATACGTACATTTTACGTTGTTATTTTAAAACTGACTCAACAAATGTGACTAAAAATCAAATCCACTTATTATATATTTACTTGAGCACAAAATAAAATGTAGTTAAACACATAAAAGGTAAGACCTGTAATGTAATTATGATCAGACATTTAAGTAAACTGTTTTCCTTTCAATGGAGAGCTAGCCACTCCCTCTTCCTTTTCCTACTTATCGTTTTGCCATCACATATCAGTTAATTACGAATATCACTTTTATTAATTAAGACACAATTAAGACTGAACAAGTACTAATTCAGAAATCAAACAAGAAAAATCAGCGTTATATTTTCAAAATTTCCACAGGACTAGTTTCGATGGTTTTACCGAATCACCATCCTCAGCTGCAAAACTGCAAATGAATAATATAGGAAATAATGATTAGATAAGATAAGAAAGCCTGGACAAGAATAAGCAAGTCGCGCCATCTGTTCGTGAAACCAGAACTAAAACATAATTTCTTTAAAGGCAGAAGGCAAAGATGGATTGGAATTAGAATCGTTAACTAGAACAGAAAGATTTTTTTGAATGTGAAATGCATCTAGAAAATCCAGTTCTCCAATGGAAGATGTTTTTTGAATAATTTTGGCAGATGAAAAATTGAAAGTGTGATTTTCGGACCAACAATGTTGAGCAACAGAAAACTTCTGTGTTTCCTTTTTTCTAACATATGCCTCATGTTCCTTGACGCGAAATTTTAAGGCTCTCTTAGTTTTGCCAATGTAAATTAAACCACACTGGCAAGGAATCCTATAAATGCCCCAGGAATTCATATCCGGAATGGGGTCCTTGAGTATGGAACTCGGAATTTTATTGATGGAAGAATAAACGACCCGAAAGTTAAATTTTTCAAAATATGTGCAACTTTATAGCTAATTGATGGAAATAAGGGAATGACAATAGGATTTTTATAATCTCCTAAAACAAGAGTGTTCCTTTTAGTGTGTTGAGATGAGAATTTTTTAACTGCTTGATTAATAATGTTGGGTGAAAAGCCCCTGTCTATAGCTATTGCTTTTAAATAATTTAGTTCTTCATCAAGGGATAGTTTGGAGGAGCAAACTTGAAGAGCACGGAAAACATAGGAATAAAATGAAGTTAACTTTTGTTTAGTCGGATGACATGATTTAAAGTGTGGAGGAAGGCAAACCGGTGATGGTTTACGGTAAACTGGAGTACTGAAGTTGGATGTGTTACGTGTGACCAGAATGTCGAGGAACGGAAGAGAATTGCAAGTATCAAGTTCAAAAGTGAACTGTATAGCAGGATCAACAGAATTCATTGTTGAAAGAACTTTATTTAAATCATCTTTATTACCTTCAAACAGGATAAAAGTATCATCTACGTAGCAGAATCATACTGGGAAAGTTCAAAGTTTCAAACAATTTTGATTCATAATAATGCCTGTAGATATCAGCCAGGATCGGACTGAAGGGGCTTCCCATGGCTAATCCCTCAGTTTGCTTGTAATATTTATTTTGGAAAACAAAATGTGTTTGTTTCAAACACAGTTGAGTGAGAGAAATTAACTTAGCCTTAATTTCGATGCCAGAGAAATGAAATTCGCGAAGTCTGGTTTCTAGACCTCTTAATGCACTCTCAACTGGAACATTGGTGTATAATGATTTTACATCAAAAGAAACCATGAGTAAATTTTTCGGAGAAATGTTTTTAACCTTTTTTACAAACTCTATAGAATATTTTACGGTGTAAATGTTATTGTCTAATAGAGTTGAAAATCTAGAAACTAAATATTTAGCTAATGGATACGAGATAGTACCTAAATTTGATACAATAGGGCGGAAATGAATACCATTTTTATGGATTTGGGGAAGAGCATATTCTAACCTCCTAGAGTTAGATTCACTTGCTTCAATCAATCAAGCATGAAAATCTGAATCATGATTTTTCGCTTTACGGCAGAAAGATTTATGGGATGCAAAACACATCGTGAAATTTAACAGGACATGATTTTTAACTAAGTATCTTCTTAAAAATTGCTAGTTAGCAACTCTATAAAAATCAAAACTTCATGTAGTCATCTTGTGGCGCATATAACTTAGACAATTGTGTGCACAATGGGACCTTTGAAATAAGCATTGATTTTCTACAACATAGAAAGTAACCTAATGCCTCGTGTACCACGCCAGTTGCCATTCGTAAAGATTTCCTGGCTAGTTTTAATCTTTTTGTGTTTTGAAGCAGTGAATGAAAATATTTTTGTGCAAACTTAATATAAAATTTTTCTTTCCTCTACAGCAAAATATGTTGCATATTCTGTACAGTGAAATGCGGAATTAGCAGTTACTTTGAATGAGATACGCTGTAACTAACAAGTCTAGAAAAATAAAACCTAACAGTGTCGTAAAGTAGCGTATATAATATGATTGCATGAAAAAATAATAATTAAAGTTTTATCAGTTATAAGGTGAGAAATAATATTTACGCAAATTATAACGCTTGTTTCTCATGATGTATTCCTGAAAATCTTGCCATCCGTATATCGCACACCATGTACGTTTCATCTACAATATGTTTCGCTTTTTCCCTAATTCTGTGTATTTGGACAAGATCACTAAAACTAATGTGAAGCACCCAACAACTACTTTGCTTAAAACAAATGTGTGCAAAACATAAAAGTACATTATAAGGTGTGTAGCTACTTGTATGATATCAAAGTAATCAGCTCATACACCTCCCATATAAGGAAGAAATTTCATTTCTTGGACATATGTTAAATGTGATGTAGAGAAATATTTTTTTTTTCTTACGCCTACTGATCTAAAACGAAATTCTCACCTACATAAGGTAGGTAAAAACTCAAATAGACAAAAGAGCGAATCGAATTAATGTATGCTTATTCACATACGACAGAAACTTCTTGCATGGGAGATGTATAATATGGTTACACTAAAGGCTAAGCAGCATATGGTTATTCATACAGCAGAGAAACCTGTGTGTGATGAATATGATAAGTCATTTAAACTAAAATGTGATTTAAACAGCAGTGTACGTATTCACACAGAAGAGAAACCTTATGTGTGTGAGGTATGTAACATGTCATTTTCTCAAAAGTGTATTTTAAATCATCATATGCGTATTCATAACCCAAAGAAACTTCATGTGTGTGACGTATGTAACAAATCATTTAGAAAAAAGTCTCATTTAAAAAGCCATATGCTTATTCACACAGGAGAGAAACCTTATGCATGTGAGCTATGTAATAAGACATTTAGAGAAAGATCTACTTTAAAAACGCATCTACTTGTTCATACGGGAGAGAGACCTCATATATGTGAAGTTTGCAACACCTCATTTTCTAGAATACGGGATTTAAATCGCCATATTCGTAGTCATACTGGAGAGAAACCTCATGTGTGTGAAATATGTAACAAATCATTTAAATGTAAGTTAAGTTTACAAAAGCATATGCTTATTCACACAGGTGAGAAACCTGGTGTGTATGAGGTATGTAATAACTCATTTAGAGAAAAGTGTGGTTTAAAAACACATCTGCTTGTTCACACAGGAGAAAAACTTCATATGTGTGAGGTATGTAACAAATCATTTAGATATAAGTGTAATTTAAATAGCCATTTTCTTATTCACAATGGAGAGAAACCTCATGTGTGTGAGGTATGTAACAAATCATTTAGATATAAGGATAATTTAAACAGCCATCTTCTTATTCACACTGGAGAGAAACCTCACGAGTGTGAGGTATGTAATAAGTCATTTAGACGCAAAAGTAACTTAAACAGGCATTTTGGTATTCACTCAACAGAAAATCCTGAAGAGAAACCTCATGAGTGTGAGGTATGTAATAAGTCATTTAGACGCAAAAGTGACTTAAACAGGCATTTTGGTATTCACGCAACAGAAAAACCTCATGTGTGTGACATATGTAATAAGTCATTTAGTGGAAAGAGTGCTTTAACAAAGCATATATTTATTCACACAGCAGAGAAACCACATGTGTGTGAGGTATGTAATAAGTC